CTACTTACACACCCAGTTTCCTCTTCAAACCCACCATAATCATAACCCCGACTTTCAAATCATGATCATCCCTTTCAAGTATGGTCACACAAAGATTATTATGCCTGCATGCCGCTAATACTGAACGTAGCTGAGAACAAGAATGAGACCCATCAAGCGATCACAGCCTACGAGCGACGCGAGTCCGCCATGGGCAGGCATGAAATTTACTCAGCCAGTTGACTCAGATGCTCTGCACGAGCTCCTGAAAGAACAGTACCCACAGTGCAAGACTTTGCGGCAGCGCAAACATATGGCCGCCATAGATTTCCTGAGGCTCGAACTGGAGTCGATGCAACATGAATCAATAGAGTCGACAACAGGAACATCATATGAGACCCAGGCACTATCAGCACTTGATGCTTCTAGGCCAGGTGTCGAAGAACTGGCGGCGCTTACGCATCGAAGAAGCGTCTCACCTTCGCTGTCACGGAGCAGCTCGTATCGCTCTCCTGTACACTTAGATGACCATATACCACAGATCGGGGTTGGCCAACAACACGTATTCAGTATTGTGGATGGATTTGCAACGCAGCCGAAAAAGAAGCGCAAGATGACGCCTGCCGAACGATCTGCTTACAAGACTACGAGAAAGGTCGGTGCTTGTGATAAGTGCAAGCGACAAAAGGGCAAGGTATGAGACGATTTGATGCGATAATTGGGCAGATTTAACAAGATGTAGTGTACCCATGTCATCGGAAAGCTAGTATCGATGGCAAAACCCTTGCAGGAGGAAAAGGCCGTTTCGCAGAGGTAAGAGATTGTGATAGGAGTCAGCGTTCGCGGGCAGGATACTAAGACATTGTTGCAAGACTTGGCGCAACACTCCCAGAGTCGATGACCGCCTTCAACGCTGAAGAACCTGCTCGCACTCACCAGCAGACCCAAGAGCTTTCGCAGCAGCAACGCACGCCTCTTCGAACAACACCAACGACACAGTCGAATACAGTACCCGGCAGCCCGCAATGGACTCAGGAGGTACACGGGATGCAGGAGGACAGTCAATCAGGGATGTCGGGGTACGTAACTTCCCACATGACTGGACCGTACACAGAGGCTCCACAAACCAGCCAGGACGATCAATGGAGCAACCAAACCTCATTCGTTGAGCCACAGACATTCCAGGCCAATCATTGTGGCTACAACAATCCACTGGATCAGAATGGGGCCCCATCTTCGTTCTCAACCTTTCCAGGCCTCTCTCCAAGAGAGGTACAATATCCACCAAATTTGTTTGATCCGTCCTGGAACCAATCCATGGACTACTTATCTGGTGAGGCTAACCCCAGGTGACCTTCTACGAGCATCTAGAGTCTCCTGCCATTCATCAAGCCATGATGACGACCGACCTCACTTATCACCACGCTTCAAAGGCTCTCGATACCTCATCCGATGATCTGGGAACTTGTGGCCACCAGAAGATCCAAGTACCCCAGGGTTGTACCTCACCGAATCATGGAGCCGTTGTACGTATAGAGTCTGTGCTCTACACAGCTTTTCATCTTGCGCATGCTTCTTGTCATACAAGAAGCTTCCTTTGTTTGTCATGTCTACTGCAGGATCGACTGCCTGGCTCTCAACCCACGGACAGTATCTCGACGACCAGCATATCCAGCTCCATCGTTTTTCCGAGGGGGCAAGAGCCGCTAGCAAAGATCATGATAGCCTGACCAAGGTTTACTACTCCATTCTTAGTTACCAGGAACTAAGGGGGGAGGGGGGAATGCTGCCACGCAGAGGACTCTATATTCTCATTTCACACGGGTACGTTCATGCACTAAAAGTAAGCAGCTAACGCGACGATGAAGATGCTTGCATCAATCGATCTCCGTCCATTCCCTTTCCGTTCATCATCTTTCATCCTCTCAAATGATGTATGGCCAACCGGCTTCTCCTTTAGGCTTTGGTCTAGCGTCGTGTTGCCGTCGTGACTAGTAGGGCTTAGTACCACTAGTATGCGGTTTGCATGCATGCTGTGGAATTCGCCTTGTCTTCATTTTGGTAGGACGTTACCTCCACGTCCGCCCACGGTTTCCTTTGTCATGTCGCTAGACATACCTAGCAAACGTCCAGACCGGCTTCTTCTTTCTCCACGGCCCAAGCAAACGAAACAACACCTCATACTGCGCACAATTTCTGACGGTCTTTGCAGAACCCCAGCATCAGCCACGCCATCCAGCTCCGAGGCACCGTCTCCAATCACGAGCACGACTTCTTCTCCTGATACTCCCGAGACAACAATAACGACACCAACAGCGACAACGCTCGCTTGATAAACACATCATACGTTCTAACGACAACGATTATACGACACGCCTTACGATTTGATGTATCATGTTGCTTCTTTTTTGAATTCTCAAGTCAATACATTCGCTGCGGACGCTGGAGCTTGCGAATGTGATGGACGAAACACAGGCTACTATGAGCCATGGCAGGGGAGGAATGCATTCCTACTGTATTTATTCAATTCAAAATGCAACCATCTCTTGGACACTTGTCCTGAGTGGCTAAACATATTGATTCATTAGGAAATTCCCATGTTGAAGCACAGCTTAACTGTTGCAGCATGTGTGGGACTCGGATTACTGAAAGCGGTTTGGTGATGACAACATTCTGGGGGGAAGGCGGCCAGGGCTTCCTATCCCGAAAGGGCAATGGACCTCGGCCCAATCACGAAGGCTTGGTGCAACCGGACACCAACCTCGCATGCGCTGGAAGCTGAACGCCAACATTGCTCTTTCACGACTGCACACCTGCTATACACATTGTTGCTACACGACTAATTGGACTACGACGACCCTCACGCTACGCATAGCCGCATTGACGCACCCGTGACCTGCCGGAACGCCGCGTTATCTCTGGTCGTGTTCCGAGATTCCCCACACGCGACGCCTGCTCCACCCCCGAGTACGCGGGCTGCATAGCCCTCTCAACCATCACCATGATACAGGGCACGCGTCGCTGGCTCAGGCGCAACCGCACAAACTTTGCCATCGGCGCCGGAGTGCTCGGCGCGGGTTATCTGGCGGGGCAGTATGTCCTGGGCAAGCTCGGGGAGGCGAGGCAGCGCATGAGCGATGATCGCATCGCCAAAGAGAAGTCCGCCTACACCGTGTCCATCACATGACATGCTCTAACGACAGTGCAGTCTACGCCGCCGCTTCGAGCAGAACCAGGAAGACTGCACCTTCACCGTCCTCGCCATCCTGCCCACCGCGACCGAGAACATACTGGACGCCATTCCTGTCGAACAGGTGCTGGAAGAGTTGCAGAGACAAAAGGCAGAGCGCCTATCGCGGAGTGTCGGACCCAGCGAGATTGCCAGTTCAGCGCCCCCGAGTGTAGCAGATACGACCGAGGATGACGCACGGAGCTCGAGTCTTCAGACGGATAGCTTCATCCATGCCAGCCAAATCGCTACGGAGGGTGACAGCAGCACGGGCCCTACCGATGCCATCCCAGAGGTCAGGGAGGATAGGAAGAGCAAGAAGAGCAAGGCGCAGCTATGGAGCGAGATGAAAATCAGCTGTGAGTACCGTCATGTTGATGTTGAGACTTGACATACTGACGCGACCAGCCATAACACGCGCCTTCACCCTTATCTACACCCTCTCTCTCCTCACGCTTCTTACGCGTATTCAACTGAATCTTCTTGGCCGCCGAAACTACCTCGCCTCCGTCGTGTCGTTAGCCGCGCCGCAGTCGACAACTGAAGGCGCAAGGATCAACTTGGAGAACAACGACGACGACAACTTCGAGCAAGCATATGGCAACGACTTCGAGACCAACCGCAGATACCTCAGCTTGAGCTGGTGGCTACTACACAAGGGGTGCATAGAGCTTATCGAGAAAGTACGGACCGCAGTCAAGGACGTCTTCGGCCTCGTGAACCCAAGAGAAGAGATGACCTTGGAGAGACTGTCGGAACTTACCCTGGAAGTGCGCAAGAGGGTCGAAGGCGCAACAGAGGAAGAGCGAAGGTAGGACCCCCATCTCATTTCAAATGATACCAGCTAACCCCCCACAGGACATGCAAGTGGCTCACCTTCCTCCTCCCACCGCAAGACCAGGAAGACTATGTCCTCCGCGAATCCGGCATGACCTCATCCTCCGAGTCCACATCACCCACAACAACAACCTCTCTCCGTCGCCTGATCGACGAAACCTCTGACCTCATCGACTCGCCTGCCTTCACACATGTCCTCACACAGCTCCTCGACGCTGCCTTCTCCCACCTCGTCGACGTCAAGATTTCCCAGCTCTCCTACAAGATCCCGCCCATCTCTGATAACCACGCTCGTGTGCAGGAGATTGTTGGACACGACATCAAGGCCAAGGTCGCGAACAGCTTAGCCGTATTCTGCAGACAAGCGCACAGCATCGGCACCGGAGCCAACAATGAGTACCTAGCTGCTATCGAAGCTGTTGGTGGTCTTGAGGCGTTCGCTGCTGTCGTCTACTCCAGCAACTTCGAGTACGAAAGCCCAGAGGCTGCTGCTGCGTTGAGTCAATCTGTTCCTGCTCCTGTCGAGCTAACAGCGCCGAGCGTGGTGCCTGAGGTTGCAGCTTTACAGGATGCACAGGAGGTCAAGTTAGACGATCCGTTCGAGAGCGCCTGGGGCAAGGCGCTGGCGAAAGAGGATGGGAAGCAGTTTTAGGGGATTGTACGATTGGTGCATGTGGGAGTGGCCGTCGCGACGTAGGATTCTTGAGATACCCGTAATTTGAACCTGTAACACTATATTTCCCCGTTCTCCATTTCACACAAGATGTGTATAACCCAATTGCGATAACACGCGTTGTGCCTTCCGGCCTCGGATTGTTGAGTCGTGACGTCAGAGCCATAGTGGGACCTGTGAACACCTCTCAACCACATGTACCTTTCAATATCCCTGCCGGTATCCCCCTGAACCACCAATACCAACAAAAGCTCCGAGTCGCAGAACTCTCCGGTACTCACAATGGTAGACCAACAAACTGCCCCCCAAAGCAAAAACGCCTACGTAACCCTCCTCACCCGCCCCAGCTACCTAGCCGGCGCAATCCTCCTCGCCTACACCCTGCACAAACACTCCCCCTCCACCCCGCTCATAATAACCTACACACCGGAGACCTTGCCAGAAACCTGCATCAACGCCTTCAAAGCCGAAGCCGCTTACTCAAACATAATCCTGCACCCCGTGGAACACCTCCGCCTGCCAGAAGATGGAACCGAACACGGCATGGTCGCCGAGCGCTTCATCGATACATGGACGAAGCTGCGTGTTTTTGATTTGTGGGATATGCCCGAAGGGCAGAAGTTTGAGAGGATTTGTTGGTTGGATGCTGATATGATGATCTTCTCCAACCCTTCGCCCTTGATCTTCAATGAGGAGAATGATGCGTATCTTAAGGGCGGTGATGGCATGCGTACAATGGCCGTACACACCTGCGTCTGCAACCTCGACCACGATTCCTGGGCCCCCGCGGAATGGAACCCGCAGAATTGCGCGATTGCCAAACTCACCGCACCGGATCAGCTAGCAGAGGTTAAGCCGGAACCATACACGTTGTCGAACTTCAACTCTGGCACTTTTCTCTATCGGCCTAGCAAGGACCTGTCTTCTTTCGTGCTGGCCAAGTTCGAGGAATTGGGCAATGCAAAGTTACGCGCTATGAAATTCCCGGATCAGGATTTCCTCAACGAAGCCTTCGATGGGCGCTGGAGCAGTTTGAGCTGGAAAACGAATGCGCTCAAGACGTGGCGGTACTGGCATGAGAATATTTGGCAAGACGACCAGGTCGCTGTGCTGCACTATATTGTGGATAAGCCGTGGGTGGCACGTCTGGACGAGGAAGGCAAAGCGGGATACTTGGGTAAAGACGGTGTGACGCACGGGTGGTGGTGGGATGAGTATGATACGTGGAATAAGGAGAGGGAGGCGCAGGGGGAAAAGCAGTTGTTGGAGATTGTGGGCAAGTATGCGGCGAGGGAGGATGGGGTGGTGGATGAAGAGATGAGGGCTGTGGGGGGTGGGGCGCAGGACTTTGCGAAGAAGTGGCCTGCTAAGGATGGGGAGGGTGCTGGTGGAGAGGAAGCCGGAAATGGGGCCAAGGCGAACGAACCGCAGTTGTCGGCCGAGGCACAGGAGAAGGCGGAGCAGTTTGGCAAGGTTGATGCGCCGCAGGGGAAGATGTTGGGAGAGAGGGGGCATGGGCGTGTTGTTAGGGGTGGGAGGGGGTTTGGTGGGAGGGGTAGGGGTGAGGGGTGGAGTGTCATGCAAGATTGAGGGCCATGTAGATGGTAGATTGGAGTTCTCAAAAGTGTGACAGACGGTTGTAACAGTATAAAGGATAGACGGACGGGAGAGATTCAACATTGTCGTAGTAGTAGAGAAATAGGAATAGAGAAAAGTATACTGTAGTCATTGACAATGAAACGAGGAGGCTAGAGCACTAGGTGACATAGTCTTGTATCACGTCTCGATACATACTCTAGATCATTCATATATATCCTTACTCTTTTCCCATATTTCGGCAAACCGAACGCTGTCATTCAATCCATATCAATAATGGAAATGCACGCTTTTAGATCAATCTCCTGCCTCCGCTCATCTCCAAACTGAAGCCCCATCCGAATCGAAAGACTCCGGCTTTCCTTCACCCCAACCAGACCCCCATTTACATGAGATCAATCAAGTTCACACCCTCATCTTCATACTTGATGATGGGACGACCAGTCTCCTTAGCAACAGGCGACGCGACGCTGTTAGCGAGGACGATGTGTCCGTTGTGTGTCAGCGAGGGGCCGCGGAGTTCGGCGGCGAAGGTAGGGCGGGGCGGAGGCATCTTGATGGCGGGTTCTTCGCGCTTGTGGATCATGGTACCATTGTCATGTCCGTTGGTATGGCCATTGGTATGACCGCTGTGGTGGCCGTTGACCTTGCCATCCGTCCTCGGAGTCTCCTCGGCAGATTCGATCTTCCTATCAGGAACGGGGGTGCTCTTCCCAGCAACGATCTCCTTCTGACCAACAGCCTTCGTATTCTGTTGATTGCTGTTCTCAGTTTCCATGCGACCGAGAAGAGAACCGATGGTGTAGAGGTTGTGAGGATGATTGGCGTCATACAGGAAGTCCAGTTCAGGATCATCCCGCGCAATAAGGCCCTGGCGCATCTTACTCAGAGCGACCTGCGTACGATGACAAGCACCATATCCCTCTAGGAAACCGCGCTGGTGAGACTCCTTGAGTGCCTCTTTACGACCCGCCTCTTTACCCGCACCAAACCCATCGTTATACGCCTCCTCCGCAACCTCATCAGCCTTCTCATGGCTGATGGAGTTGTCAGCGAATTCAGCTTCGAGTTGCTCGCGGGCAATGGCTTTCCAGTTCTGTTCGCGCATCTGTTGGGCTGCTTCGCGGAGACGGAGGGCTTCGATCTTGATGTTGAGTTTACTGTTCATATCAGCCATGGCTTTCTGCGCATGGAGTTCAGCTTCGCGGCGGGCATGTTCCATTTGCACAGCGCTCATCGGTCTATCGCCGTTCTCTTCTAGCGCGTACATGAGCTGCTTCTGGCCTTCGGTGAGGTAGACTTCGAACTGTGTGATCTTATGCTCGCGGTCATCGAGGTCGCGCTCTCGGGCTTCGACTTTGGACTTGAGCGTCAGGGTTGTGGCTTGATCGCGGAGAAGGTTCGTTAACATGACGGATGAAGCTGCTTCGACTTTCTGTTGCTGCTCAGCTTCGATAGACTTGCGGAGACGCACGCCCTTGTTTCGCTCGGTATCGAGTTCGTTCTTTAGCTTCATGACTTGTGCGTTCATACGGACGATTTGCTCGCGATCGCCGTGGTCACCTCCTCGGGATCCGTGGGAATTGAAGTGGGAGCGTGGGGCGCGTGGGGCATCGTTGAATCGGTTGACCTCGTTTGGCGACATCATGTGCTGCGTGCGTTAGTTTTGTATACATCCAAAGGCTGGTGGAACTGCCTACCCTCGGGTCTGGAAGGCCGAAGAGGCGGGATGCAGGCGACTGGAAGTCAGGACGCATGTGTGGGGGTAGACTGTGAGCTGGCCTCGAAGGCTTCGGTGCCTCGATGTGCGCGTCTGTGTCGGTCTTGAAGTCGCTGTCCTCGTTCCCGGTGTCAACGTCGGCCTTAGTGGCCTCGGCATGCAGCCCAGGGGGCGATGTCAGAGGAGCTTCCTTCTTGGCGATTTGAGATGCTTTTCTTTACATTAGCAGATGACTTTGGTGATGATAGTGAGACATACCAAGCTTCGACTCCGCCTTCTCGTCAATTTGCTCTTGTTGCTCTTGCACCGTCACAGAGCTCGCTCCGACTGCCCCGTCAAGGTCTGGCTCTATGATCTCTCCATCTTCAAGAGAGGCAACACTCTTGTCGTCTTCGGCAACCAGCTTGGGTGAGGGGAAGGGGGAACCGAGAGTCGCGGTCTTGACATCTGTCGAATCTTCGATAGCAACTTGCTCTTGGGTACCAATTGGCTTCTCGACGTCGGGCGCAGACTTTTTGGACATGACAGGCGAAGGATCAAAGTCCAATGTGTTCTCTCGATTATGGATCTCTGCATCGTGTGTCTCTGTATGCGCAGCAACTGCCTTGATATCCGAGGGCGACGCGATGTCTAGATGAGTGGCCTGGTCGCTCGAAGTCGCCATGTTGACGGCTATTTGCTGATGCGGTTCCTCGGACTGGTGGTGCTCGATAGCTTATTGTGATTGAGTGCCGAGATAAACGATGCCGCTATTGTAAGACTGACTCAAGGAGTGATCGAGCAAGTAAAGGCCAATGAGGTGTATCGACACGAATGGAGGATAGAGAAGTGTAAGTATAGAACGGTAGAATGTCAGGCTTATATGGATATACAATCGCCTGGTGAGGGACACTAGCACGTGAAGGTCTATGGCCGCAATGGCCACCACTCAAGTAAGTAAGTAAAGGCAGACTCATATCGTCAGGTCAACGGCGGTGCGTTTGAGGTAGATCCACATGCACTCTTCCAATGAATGTCTGCCTCCGCGTCGCGCAAGGTCACCGAAGCTTGGCTACTAGGAGGACATAGGCTTATATAACCCGATTTGTGCGTTTGACAGTGTCGTTTGATGCTTTCTAGTGCGCTTGTCGTGTCCTTCGGTACCTGATGTTGTCACCGACCATCGTATTCTCAACGACTCGCAGTACGCAAAGCGCATAGCCATTCGACAACTTCTACCTGAAGGCTTCGTGGACCCAGTACCGCTCTAATACTTGCTCATAACGCACACCAATGTCAAGGAACGCCTTCGTAGTCTTGGGCGCCGCAGACAACTCAAACTCAGCTTGGAAACTCACGTCTTCCAAGCTCAGATCAGATGCCCCGCATTCCGCGACGAAATCCCGAAGGACAGTCGATGTATCCAAGCTCTTGTATCCCGCCCGATATTGGCTTTCAACACCAATCAGCATCGTGAAGCTTGTGAGAGACGGTGATAGCAGCTTGGCTATTGGAGGCGCGTTCCTCGAAAAGTCAGCGTACGGAGCAGAAGCACCGAGCAAGCAGTTCTGAGATATGACCAACTTGCTCAAATGTTCGAATGGTCGAAGAGTGCCGAGAGGTTTGAGCGATACCATCTCTACGTAATCTTCGTCTAAATCAGAGTCCGAGGCCTCCTCCTCTGATCGGAACATGATTTCACGAATATCAAGATGTAGGGATTCAAGCGTGTCAGCGTGACGTAACAGGCTGGCGTACAGGTCGGATGGCGACCCTTCAAAATCCTCGAGAGGCATCCATATACAGACAACATGTCTTAAGCCTTCACATGCCGATAGAATACTAGCTACCGCCTCTATCTCGAGACGACATGCGGTAATCTCGAGGCGCTGCAGCGTTTTCCATAAGCCAAGCTGAGGCATCGATGCTGGCGGTTGTGCCACGACGCTACGCGCTCGGAAGTCGGTGAGCATGGGCGCCGTCGATACCACGGAGCAAATCTGATCAAACGAAATGGTTTCAGCGTGGAGTCCATAGTGTTGGAGAGTTGTATTGACGCACAATGTCTGAAGCTTGCTAAAAACATGTTCGGCTCCTGGGTTGGGCGTAGGCGAATGCGTTATTTCCCGTCCAGGGACAAAGTATCTCCAGAAGGATCGATCACGGTCTTCTATATTCTCGATCGACAAGTGTTGTAGGTTGGCCGCCTGTTTGACAACGTCGGCTAGCATGGTAAGGTAATGTCGTGCAATGGTGTGCGGAGGTATGCTGTCGTTCTGGCACTTCTTGTCCATGCGTCGAATCTCCACGTACTTCAGATACTTGTTAAGTTCCTCACCCGAGCCAGAGGAGTCTAAGATTCTTTTGCGAAACGACTGGAGAGGTTCGGTGCCATGCTCGGCGGCGGTCCCTATGAACGAGGCGTACAGGATTGGGGTAGCCATTCGCTTTAGGCAACGAGATGTCAGACAGAGATTGTACAAGGCCAGCCTGCGGATGTGGTTGTCGGATTGACGATTTGCCTCTATCGCCACGTTTTTCTGGTGTTCGGTGTACCTGAAGAGCGTGTCGTAAGAGCGAATGGCGTCGAGGTGCGTGATTATCTCGTGCACCAGCTCATCTGGTAAGCCCTCAAGCGACGCGTTTTTGGAGCTCATGGTCGATCAGTGTATAAGACTGCTTGAAGTGCGTGTGAATGAGTGAATGCAATGAAACTGAGGTTTGTTGTTGCATGAGCGCAGAGATAAATGGCGTCGTGGAAGCTGACAGGGCGTTAGGCTGCCACGCCGCTAGCTCATAAGAGGAAAGGTGTTGACTGTAACACACCTGGGCAGGCGCCAGGGCATACCGACAACTCCACATCACGATATTTACACCTGGGCTGATGTGTACGCTGTCAGGCAAGACTCACAAGATGTTGTTACATTATTTTGGGTATATCGCAAGCTCAATCAAATCCTCCAATCAGCTCACACCACTCTCGTCGTCTTCCCCGTCTCGACATCGTAGATCCACCCACTGAACCGAATGTTCTCCTCGATCGCTTTGATCCGCAGCCATTGTATATCCTTCTTGACTTGGATCTCCAGATCGCGGAAAGGCCGGAAGTCGAGGGTCTCCACCTCTCTCGCGGCTATCTCTCCCCTTTTCTTCATGACCACGGCTTTCGCAGTCGGGTTGTCGAATGTGAGCATGCCGCATCCGGTGTGCTTTACGACGATGACTTCTCTTGTTCCAAGCAGTTGTTGCGATATGACGATGGATCGGAACGCGTCGTGTACACAGCCGCCGGCGTTGCGGATTACGTGGGCGGCTCCGAGAGGGATGCCAAAGGCGGCAGTTGGGTCGATGCGCGCGTCCATACATGTTACTGACGCGTCATATTAGCGGCTGATGGCTGGAAATGTGGTTGCAGGTGCTTACCGATGGTGTATCTTTGACTGGGTGGTAGTGCCAGATGGCCCTGGTCGAAGGAAGCAGCATACGCCTGGTTCCCGAGCTCGAGGTTCCTCTCTCCGTGTGTCGGCATTGTCGGTTTTGGTTATTTGAAGGCGTAAGAGGTTATGATGGGTTTACTGCTGGATGCATCGCCATCCCCTGCGACCTTATATATCGCCATGTCGCCGTCCTGATTACTACGATACGCGCCGGTTGCTTTTCGCACCTGAGGAAAGTTGCGGCATTGCGGGGGTGAATTTCGCCATGTTACTGGCCTGATACAGTTGGCGTTGATACAGGAACGACATGCGACAGACGTTACCGCAGCTGCACGTCTCCGGCAGAATGGCATCAACCCAAGCGCGGTTTCATTGGTCATGTCGACAAGGGTCCTCAGGCGGATCTCAGGCAAAGACGGCAAAGGGTGGGGCAACCCTTCTAGCGTGTCGCATGCGCATCTTCAGATGTTCCATTAATCCCGATCCTTCATTCTTGCTCCCACAAGGCATCAATGCTTCTCTCTGTTAAATCTACTCTTTACCCTCTTGGGTTCGATCCTCATGGAATTCGGCATCCTGACTGAATCGCGCAGAGGATAGCGTTCGGCCTGACTCAAGATATCCGAGACATGAAGAGAGATGGAGCCGCTCATCAAACCCGGATAGTGGATATACCTTACAGGAGATAAAAGACGGGTTACCGGACGAACTACTCCACACTTCGAATTGCCGTCGCCGCGAAGCTGGCATCAGACGCCACTCCCCAATGGCGCAGTAGAAGTCTGTCAGACCAACATCAAACAGCCAATATACTGCGCGTCGTAGACAATTATCCGTCGGAGAGAGCATTCCAAAATCTGGATGTCATTGCAATGGCCATTCTGTATAGCGAGATCATTGTCGAGATACCAACACTGGAGGAGCTAGGCCTGAAACGAAATAGCTTACAAAACCATCACGCCCTGGAGGACAACGCCTTAATCGCTATGGTGCTTCGACCTAAGGAAGACATTCATAAGCCAAGAAGCGTACCGAATTTCTAGGAAGAACTCGTCGGATGGGGTGCAAAAGAATACCAACAATATTTACAACTCCACTCGGCATACTTCGAGGCTGGCTATGACGCTGCGAGAGCGTCATACCTTACAAATCAATTCACGGCCTCTCATGAGAGCATGCATCTCAACACATACGAATAATTCCTCTTTACCTCATGATATACCCGCTATTTCTCAATTATCAATCCATCATGGCCTCTCCGCAATCCCCAGCCATCGACAGCTCGCGCTGGCATCAACGAATCGCGTCAATCACCACCACATCCAACGAACAGATCCGTTTAAACTACATTGAATGCGCACCACCACGTTTGGCGAGAAAAAAGGGCGTCATACTCCTCATCCACGGCTTCCCTCAGACATCATACCAATTCCGTCATGTGATCACGCCGCTATCAGAGGCCGGCTATCGCGTCATCGCGCCTGACTACCGTGGCGCAGGACAATCTTCCAAACCCTTGACAGGCTATCAAAAGACGCAGATGGCGGAGGACTTGCACATCTTGGTACAAGAGCACTTTGGCATCAAAGAGAAGATTAATGTTGTGGGGCATGACATTGGTGGCATGATTGCGTTCGCGTACGCATCGCGGTACCCCGACGATGTAGCTAGCGTCATTTGGGGTGAATGTCCGCTACCTGGTACATCATGCTACGAAAACGTCAAAGGCACACCCGACGTTTTCCACTTTGTCTTCCACCAGGTACCCGATCTACCGGAGTTCTTGATCGCGGGCAAAGAGCGAGAATACCTCAAGCACTTCTTCGATAAGATCTCGTATAACAGTGCGGCTATTTCGCCCGCTGATCTCGAGCATTACGCCCTAGCGTATTCGCAACCTGGTGCTATCAGGGCGGGTCTGGAGGTCTATCGCGCGTTTGAGAAGGATGCGGAGGAGAACAGGAATTGGGTTGTTGAACATGGGAAGGTCAAGGTGCCGTCGATGCTTATGAATGGGGACAAGTTTATGTTGGCACAGTCTGCAGAGGGTATGGCGAACCAGTATCATGAAGGTGCGGAGATGGTGATGATTGAGGAGGCGGCGCATTACATTGCGGAAGAGAATCCTGACGCTTTTGTGAAGGGCGTGTTGGAGTTTGTTGCTAGACACTGAGCGCACTTAGCTCATGGACAACTATCTAGGTACACTGAATTACGACTTCCACACCGGTTTCACGTTGACGTTGGGATGAAGATTTTAGTAACGAAACGTATACTATTCACCACCGCCTCTAGCAGCAGAGACCCCTAGCTATATTTCCACCAGTCTGGATCCATGAGCGGGTATGCAACCTCAAAGGACTGTCTTGGTAGATGGTTCTCGCCTGCAATCCATATTGGCTTAGACCCAAAGTCATCCAGTAATCTACCTTGAAACCTTTGTCGCTGTACAAGGTGTAGGGTTTCATCACAGTAAACTTCCCTACAAAAGCGAGGGAAATTCGAAGACCCGCCAAGTCGGCTGATGTATACGGCAACACAGAACTTAGGGTCAAGCTTGTAGTTGCATGCCAGAAGTGCAGAGTATAGCCCTATGCGCTCTGGCTCACGTCTCAAAGGCAGCTGTATGCGGAGTCCCGCGTTTGTCATGTCGTAATTTGGCATCGGGTCTAGACGATCAATTAGACCGGGTGGATACTCGCATGGTTCGTAGCTTGCTCCGTTAGAGAAGCACGACACACTTGGCGCTAGCATGTCGCCGTTAACTGTCTCTGATTTCCAGGCGAAAAGAGTATGGTCAGTACTTGTCCGCAGAATCTCAAGTTGTAGTCGTCTGAATGCGCTGCTTTTGCCCTCTCCGTACAAAGTTGCCATATTGACACCAAAGATGCCCATCAGGGAGTACGCTTCGTCTTCCGGTCGCGTCGTAACTCTTTTCGCCGCCCACGACATCTTCTCGGATACGCCCACGGCACTGATGGCTTCCCGGTTTCTCAGGACCTTCTCAGTAATGTTGGAGGCTACAGAGATTTCTTTGAACAAATCAGCTTTTGTGCCGATCTTGTTCCAGCTCTTTGCGTAGATAGTCAACTTGAGCGGGGCGATCAGCTCTTGCAAAGTCCACCCTCTTGAAAACCAAGCTGATCTGGATAGTGCTCCATTAACTCCGAAAGGGACGCCGGGCTGTGTTTCATCGAGCACCACATCGTCCAAGTATGCGATGCACCACTCTGAATGGGTGTAGTAACTGTACATCGAGTTGATAGCTTCCGATAGCTCAGCGCTGGAACTCTTGTCGATGCAGCAAGTATCGCTCCAGACATAGCTAAACCCGTGTTCAAGCGCAACACGGCACGTCATCTCAAGCTTCGCGTAGCCTTTCTTGCTGCGTGCAATACTGCGGTCCGCAGCTATCATGTCATCGTACAGAACTTCTTGCTCGCGCCATCGGTGTGAAAGGATCGCGTATGGGGGGACGTCACTTCCTACAAACTCCGAGAATGAGATCTGTAGAGTAGGGTCGGAAGTGTCATTGGGCTCAACATGAAGGAGCCGCATCGGTGTGTGACTAGCGTCGCTAGTATGTAGATAGCAATGGTTATCGGGTGGCACGCGTTTGTATTACTGAGAAGGTCAAGGCTGGGCAAGGGTAAGTGCGACGTGTCTTGTGCCTCTTAGCTAAGCGGTTCGAGCTCATTGGACGCTTATACGAGACCAATGGCGGGCACACACGGCGCGTACAACATGGAAACGTCCCGACTAGGTATAGCAGTCCTCTTGTAGTCGCGTGAGCACTACGGTACTCTCACATCAAACTTCCCCGTAGCCTCCGGTTTCGAAAGTACCCAAAGTATACCTTCATTAACACACTGATCCCAATGCTCAGACGCCTTCAACGCTTTCCCAAACCGCCTATGGCCATGCGGCACGCCCTTGAAAAGCGTAGTAGAAGTCGGCACATTAGCCTCCGACAGCTTCTTTGAAAACAACAGCCCCTCATCGCGCAGCGGGTCCAAGCCTGCGATACCAAACACCGTAGGAGGAAAGCCCTTGACCTCCTCTTCCGTCGCGTTCACTACATTCATCTTTGTGTCTTTTAGATCTGGTGTGCCAGCCTTCAGAAGTGCTGTGAAGTAATCCATGACTCTCCTCGGCAGAACCGGAGCGTCTTCGTTCTCGACATAGGATGAGGTCGACTTGTTGAGTAGTTTGCCGGGGCCTTGTTCATATGTAGCTGGGTGGGCGAGCAAAGGGATGATGAGGATCTGACCGGCTAGTGTGGGCAGGCCTGCCATAGTCTCACTCTTTTTGAGATGCTGTTCCAGGGTGAGGGAGGCTGCTAGGTTGCCGCCTGCTGAGACGCCGCCGACAACGACTTGAGATGGATCGCCCCCGAGTGCGTCGATGTTCTTATGCAGCCATACAAATGCATCCTGAGAATCGTTCCAAGCGGTTGGGAAGATGTGCTCTGGTGTATGGCGATAGTTGACGTTCAGTACAAGCGCTCCGGTTTTTATCGCGGTCTGCGAACACAGCGGATCCTCGCTATTCAACGATCCTGCATCATTGTCAGCCAACGAATGTGGATACACCATAAGTAGGAGCTATTACCAAAGATGAAACCTCCTCCGTGGAAGTACAAGTACACAGGAAGCTTCTCTGACGCGTCTTTCTTTACAGATCGATAGGTACGAGCTTCGATAGTCGAGCCATCACGGGTTGGAATGACGTGATCTTTGACCTCGACATGTGCTGCAAACAACTGCTTCAGCTCTGCCGAGCGTGCTTCTCTCTCGGTGTTTACAGCTTTCTGAAGTACGAGTGGGTCCATCGAGATGTCGAAAGTCCGCGCGGGAAGCGTCTTCTCCAGTGCCAGCCATTCGTCGGACGGACCGCCATACTGAGAAAAGTCCATTGTCATCTTGATGAGAAAAGAGTTGCGGTTGTGTGAAGAGGAATTCAGCGATATGTATTCGGTCAGCGACTTAGCCTCGTACGACCTTTGGAGCCTAGCATAGCCGCGTCAAGCACTTGAGTCTGCCTCGTCATATCTGCGACCGGTGGTCGCTAGCGTCACCCCGCAATGTACCGAGGTCCTCACATGCGTGCCACCAACACCATGTTTGCTTTTTGTGGCTGCTAGTTGTTGGCCTACCATCATCAAGCTGACCGCGTCGATTTCAATATCCTTGGCCGGGAGACGACTATAGACATCTGCCTTTTGAACTCAATGGTCCGAGTCATCATCTGCGAACATCAGCCGCAAATAACGTCATAGACCTAGGCCGAAGACAATGGCTACAGTACCATCTGAACCTCCATCACGTGGCCTCAAAGATAAAGTCGCGATTGTAACTGGAGCAGGCTGCGAAGGTGATGGGATTGGGAATGGCCGTGCGATATCGATCATGCTTGCCGATGAGGGCTGCCATGTCCTCTGTTTGGATCTGAACATGGAGTGGGCTCAGAAGACTGCGGAAATGGCAGCATCAAAACCACATCGCGGAAGAGCTATTGCGATTCAGGCCGATGTCACCAAGGCCAGCGATTGCGAGGCAGTAGTGGCTAAAGCAATTCAAGAGTTCGGCAAGCTGGACATACTGGTGAACAACGTAGGTGTCAGCGGTGCACCAGGTACGGCGGTTGATGTCGATATGGAGGCATGGGCGAAGGGACTTGAGATCAACGTGAGCAGCATGGTGCAGATGACGAAGTACTGTATACCAGCCATGCAGAAGAACGAAGGCGAAACGAAAGGCAGCATCGTCAACATGGGTTCCGTCGCTGGACTCAAAGGCGGCACACCACATCTTCTGTATCCGACCAGTAAAGGCGCGGTGGTCAACATGACCAGGGCAATGGCAGCGCATCACGCACCCGATGGTATTAGGGTGAACTGTGTCTGCCCGGGCGTACGTTCTTCATTCCTGCTGCACAACAACCAACTGACATGACATAGATGCTATACACGCCCATGATGTATGCAGGTGGCATGAGCGAAGGAGCCCGAGAAGCGCGAAAGAAGAGAAGTCTGCTGGGCACGGAAGGCAATGGATGGGATGCAGCATGCGCTGTAACCTTTCTGAGTTCAGATCATGCGAGATGGATAACGGGTGCGGTTTTGCCTGTCGATGCTGGCGCGACAGCCGCAGTGGGCATCGGTATGCCAAAGAGTGCCAGTGTCAATGGCTAGAGTATGGGGGAGATGGGGTTAGATGGCAGGCAGGAGATGACGAGGTTTCGCGCAAAACGGGAAAGGACCTCGGCACATCGGCACCCGATGGCTCATTGGCTTGCACAGGCGTCAAAACGCAGCCTCAAACCCCTTCGTGTACTTTTCGCAACAACTACACAGCACTACCATCCCCACATGGCATCAGTCGTACACACGTGATGGAAGTCTCGTAGTCTATATGAGGAAGGACCATGTGTGGGGCGGAGGGCTGCCCGATGCGCATACTCATTTGCACCAATCGGAGCCTTCTACAGACATTGAGCCCAGCGGTCCGCTCCTCTAGTCCTTTCTAGTTTTTGCGCTGCACCCCAGATTTCCGCTAGAGATATCTTGGCTTCTCAGCAGTCATGGTGGTCATTCGTGGAAAGCCGGATGATCACAAAATGTAAGTCGTGGACGGAAGAACTGAGGTTGTGGCGCATGCCTTCAATCTCGTTGCGGCTCAAGATCAAGTGCGATGTCAGATTTCTTATAAGATGGACTATTACGACCACATTGAGTATCACCAGTCCGGTTGCAGATTTCATCCTCTCTCTTGACCGCCATGAAGTTCCTCCAGTCACTCAGCACATGTGTGCTCGCACTCTCTTCCCTCGTCAGCGCAGCAAGCTTCAGCAACCCACTCAAGCAAAAGGATGGCTCAGACCCTCACATCGCCTACACCAATGGCTACTACTACATGATGACGACGACATGGACGAACCTTTCAATCACGAGAGCGAAGACGCTTGGAGGCTTGAAGACAGGGGAGACAAAGGTTGTCTGGACCGACTCGAACCCTGACAGATGCTGCAACATGTGGGCACCTGAGCTGCACTACCTCGATGGTGCATGGTACATCTACTATACTGCCGGTCGCAGTGGTACCGACAACCTGGACCTCCAGCGCCCTTATGTGCTCAAAGGTGAGAATGTTTCATCGTATAGATGATGAGTAATCTAACAGTCGCAGGTGGTGCGGACCCATTCGGGACATACACCTACCTCTCTCAACTAACAAGCGTATGGGGTATCGATGGCTCTATCGTTCGTTTCAGCAAATGGGGCAACTACTTCACCTGGTCTTGCTTCTCCGGCGCCCTGCAATCACTTTGCATCGCACCCATGACTTCGCCTGGCAAACTCGGTGCTACCAAGATCCTCTCTACACCTACTGAGTCGTGGGAAACCAATGGTAGCCCTGTGCAAGAAGGCCCGGTTGCTATGTACCATGGTGGCAAGACCTACATCGCTTACTCGGCAAGCTTCTGCTGGACGCCCAACTACAGCTTGGGTCTGCTCACCTGGAATGGCTCGGGTGACCCGGCGCTCAGTGCGAGCTGGAAGAAGAGCGATGGGCCTGTCTTCACCAATGCCAACGGCAACTACGGGCCAGGTCACAACGGGTATGTTGACCAGCCGATACTGCGCGATATCCATGCTGACCACGATATAGTTTCTTCACTAGTCCCGATGGCACAGAGATATGGAACGTTTACCACGCTACTGCTATTCAGACTGGTGCCTGCGATGGCAACAGGTACACGATGGCGCAGAAGGTCAACTGGAACGCGGATGGCACGCCGAACTTTGGAACTCCGATCAGGCCAGGCGCCACACTTGCTGGACCTTCTGGAGAGTAGATTGTCGATCGAAGTTGGCCTGCTATGGAAGCTCTTCTTGTATATATTTGACGTTGCGCATGGTTGAGATGTACTAAACTTTGTTCCATATCGAAATGTAGTCGGGCCACCGTTTGCGCAAACTGCTCGTACCACTCTTCGCATCATACCGCAAATCTGAGCAACGATTGGAATGTGTGATCATCGTTGTTACCAGGACAACTCTACCAAGGGTGACTGGCCCCAAGCTTGGATCGAAGTCAGCTCATGTCGCTGCATAAGAGTCGGTGATGGGGGCTGGGGACCGAATCGATAAACTGAGCTGACCGGGCCGGAGCCGAAGGCGCGCCGATCGTGCGACGTGCTGTGCACGACGCATACCCTGATAAAGGTGTAATATGCTTAATCTGGGAGGCGAAGATACGAAATGCTGATGTCAGAGTAGATCATGCCGCTGGATGCGTACGCAAGATGGCAGGTAAAGGTACAGCCCTGGAGGTGATAGTGTCGGATGACGTCGGGGATGCACGAGTCATGGAATCTGCAAGGTCCCGCACGTGCTAGCGCGTCCCGCGCCAACATGCGTCAGCTGCACCCCGGACTCCGCTTAGAGATAAAGGGTAAAGTTTCACTGCGCGCGGCAAAATCCTTGTATTTACTAATTATTACTTATTAGCTTAATTTACGCACTAGTAGAGCTTAGGCTACCTACCTAGAAGAAGTAGTCTTTTAGATAATTGTAACTATTACAATAACTACTACTTACAACTACAGCTCTAGCTAAGTTAATTAAATTTGCGCGTAATAAGACTTTCTACTATTTATTCTGTTTTTTTTACGTTTACTACTCTACCTTTATAGCTTAAAACTAGTTCTATATTAACTGCGCTAGTCTTATAAGTTATAAAGTTTTATCTAAATAAGCTATATTTATACTAACTTTCTACTCTAAAGCCTACTCTCTAATTCTCTATCTTTTTACCTGCACTACTATAATTTAGTAGTTAATAGGCTAGTAACAATCTATAAGTTCTTTCTTACTTTTTCTCTAGTTTTTTATTTTAAAGCTTATTAATTCTAATTATATTCTTATTCTCTACTTTAGAGTTTAGTATAATATCTCTACTCTTAGCTATAACCTCTAAATTTATAAGCTTTCTTTCTTACTTTTTTAGTAGCTGCCTTAAGTAGCGTAGAGTTAGCTTCTAATTTTTAGTTTATATACTATATTCTACTATCTATCTACTTACTTTTTGCTTTAAACCTTATACTTTATAAGCTTTACTCTCTCTTTTTTAGCCTCTTTCTTACTTTATGCTAACTACTTTACTTTCTAGACTTAGCTTTGCTTTTAGTAGAACCTTTGCTAAGATCTATAGCTATATTATAAACTACCTTACTATCTAACTAGCTACTACTCTAGCTATTAAGATTTTAAGCGCGTCTAGCTTAAGCAGTAATAGTACTAATACTACTATAGATAACTTTAGTAAAAACAACAATACTACGCTTAAAACTAGTAAAAGCGTTCTAGATACTATTAAGACTAGCAATATTAAGGTTGCGCAAGAAGATAAAGAGGCATATAAGCGTGTTAATAGTAATAATAAAGATAACTACTTTATTTCTAAAGGCCTTATTAATCTAATAGATAACTATAGTAATAAGAGTAATACTTTATCTCTATTCTCTGTCTCTTCTAAGATTATTTTATAAACTTCTTATAAGAGAGTAAAGAAGTGTAATAAGCTATATTAGCGCAAGAGAGAGTAGCATAAAATAAAAGGCTACGCTAGAGTTAGACCTCTTTATACTCTATTTAAGAATTAATAGACTAAGCTATAATCTAAAGAAAAGAGTAAGAACGTATATTTCTAGACCTCTAATTTAAAATCTTATTCTTTTCTAGCAACTACTAATATCTACTAAGCAAAATATAGTGTAGAGAATAAGATTATGTAAGTAGAGCTCTATTCTTCTATTTTTTTTCTTTTACTATTACTTCTCTTCTATTCTATTCTTCTAGCACGCTTAGCTCTACTTCTCTTTCTTTCTAATATCTCTCTAGCTCTCTATTCT